CTATTCCCCACCAGTAATTATAACAACACGATCAACAATTACAATACGATCAACAATGAACAAAATGATGTGGCTCGTTTTAGGTGTACTGAGTCGACATTCTCCGCTTTGAAAGAAGGAAGCAACCTGGAAATTACAATACAAGTTTTTTGCTCGTTTTCATTCTTAATTTTTCATATGATTTACAGCGAAGCATTGAAGGAATCAAATAACGACGAAGACATCGATTCTCTGAAGAAGTATGTGATGATTTCAACACTCATTCAAGATATTCCGTTCTTTGCTATCCGTGTTGTCGTTTGGATACTGTACGGGTTTGAGAATCAGTTCATTTTTTTGGTGAAAAATGTAGTAATAACGAGTCTATTCTCTCTCGAATTATGCCAATGCTGCTCATCAGTCGAATCAGATGCAGAAAGTCAGACCTATCCCTCATCAAGCAGAGAAATAGAAAGAAATCCAAGAGAAATGCAAAGCGATGGAAAAGAAAATCAAAAAAATATAAGGACAGGCAGAAAAAAGCAGAGAAATGCCAAGCAGCCGAGAAGTCAAACAAATCGTGGATTTGACGGTAATCACTGATGTGATTGAATATTAACTTGCACAAAGTATGACACATTTTATTCCAGCGTCCAAAGAATATAACAAATTCACATTCACTGTGGATATGCTAAAACAAAAAAATTGGGCGACACTTTGATAACCGCACGGGGCACATTTCTAAGAATCATTATATCCAAAAATAGACTTAGTTGGCGCGTCGGCTTTCCTTTTACTTTCATGTTGACGAGCACTTTTGTAGGATTTTACAAGCGTATCAGAACGGGCCTAATTATTTCTAAGAAGAAGTAGAAAAATAATTCAAAATTATGACGTTTTAAACTGAATTGGAAGACAAAGTATGAGAACTTAAATTCCAGAGTTTTCCAACGTCCAATGAATCATAAGGAATGCGCATTCACTGTGGATACTATGCTAAACAGACAATTGGACGAGACTTGTTTTGAAAACAGTATGAGATCGATTTCGTGGAATATCTAAAAATAGATTTTATTAGTCATCGCGTCTTCTTACCTTAATTAAATCTTATGATTGACATGCCGCCCTTCCTCTGTGAGCACCTTTGTAGGATTTTACACGTGCATCAGGACATGCCTAATTATTATTCATCAGAAGTAGAAAATAAAAAAGCGTTTTAGCAAAGAGTCGATGCCACAAGAAAGCATATCATCTTATCAACCTTTCGTAGGATTTTACGAGCGTATCAGGACATGCCTAATTATTATTCAGCAGAAATAGAAAATAAAAAAGCGTTTTAGCAAAGAGTCCATGCCACAAGCAAACATATCATCTTATCAATCGACGCAGGGAAAATAATCTTGATGCAAGAATTACCACAGCCAGTTTTGCCGGAACCTGTTCAAATGCAAGAAGGACAAGGAACGCCGAACACGGAAGTAGCAAACCAACCATACGAAAAAGGCGCCCGATGGCTGAAATGTGCAACAGTTATCGTTTGCATAGTCAACTTCTTCTACATCGTAGGCATAGCAGTACTCATTGGGATACTGAAAGGCTGGTATTACTCGATTCACTGCTTTATTATCTCCTTGTTATGTCTGTTGAGTTTTGTGTCAACTGTAAAAGCAAAGACAAAACTTGAGATAAAAATTGCCTGCTGGTTAAGCTGTTCAAATTTGGTTCTAGTTTTGATGACTTCCTTTACCTTGCTGACCAGACAAGCCTACTATCATTCGTCCCATCTATTTGATGCCAAATGGGTAGTATTTTCTCTCCAAGCGAGTATCATCCCTCTTCTTGCTGGTATACTAGTGATGTATGAATGCAGCATCAAGGAGCTTTACAAGGACCGTTTCATTTTAATGAGAGCAGTTCTCGACTTTGCGGATATATGGGAGATGGCCTCGTATCTTTCACAGAACAAACCACCTTTCTTAAAAGAAGAAAGTCCATTAGAAATAGCAATGCAATTCTTTTGCTCCTCCTCATTTACCGTATTTTCTCTTCTAATTTATAAAAATATCACACATGAGGCTTTAAAATTAGTGTTTAAAAACAAGGACCAACCAGCTTCGCAGCAAGATAAAGTCAACCATGTCTTGGTGCAAAACTACCTCCAATCT